CTGGACCAACGGGAGGCTTGCAAGCCGCGGGTGCGAGCTGCGCCTGCGCTCTGGAGTCTCTTTGCAAATCATCCGCACGCCACTAGATGGCGATCAGCAGTAAGGCTGAACACGCAGGCGCAGACGGGCTCGAAAAGTCGCGCATGCGTGCGGCCGCGCCGACGGTCAAGCCAGTCCCAGCTTCCCTCCAAGCCAATTCCCTGGCTGTAGCGCCACCTAGAGGTGCAGGCGTGGGAATGGCCGCCCCGACCCGAACTAAAACTGGGTCTGGGGTCGCGGGGAGCCCGTGTGCAAGGTGCCAAAGAGTCATAGGACCTTGGGTTCTCAGATTTGCCTTGTGGAGGCCACAGGGAGGCCACAAGGCTAGCCAAAGTGGGTGCCCCCCAGCATCCTGGGGGAGGGGCGTCGCAAGTGGGGTCCCCTGCACCCCTCCCCAGCCCTGCCTCCTGCATCCTGAGCGCTTTGCCACTTAGGGTCAGGGTGTGTGCACCCCAACTTTTCTGGGCACTTGATTTTCCCAGTAGTAAACATGGCCTCAGTTTCCCCTTGTAAATCCCTGCAGAGGCAGCGTCCCTCCGTGCAGGGTGACATGCCCTTGATCCCAACACCTCCCCCTTTTTCTTTCTTTACCTGGAATTGAACCCAGGGCTGCTTCACCCCTGAGCCCCCATCTCCAGCCCTTTTTCCTATTTTATTGAGACACAGGGTCTCGCTGAGTGGCTCAGGGCCTCACTTTGGCTGAGGCTGGCCTCCACCTTGCGATCCTCCTGCCTCAGCCTCCCGAGCTACTGGGAGGACAGGCGTGCGCCCCTGCCTCTCCCCGGCTCCCGTTTGGTTTTTGGACCCAGCGTCCCCTCTCCCGTGACCTTCACCCTGAGTGAACAGGGGTGACCTGGTCCCCTCTCCCCCACCTGGGCTCAGATCCCCAGGGTAGCCTCCATTCCTAAGCCCTGGCCTCCAAGATGTGGGAAGGACCCCAGTGGCCTACTCAGTGGATGTCCCTGTGGCCGTAGGTGGTTGGGTGACAGGGCTCAGTCCTGGGCATCTGCCTGCAGCCCTGGCCTGGAGCTCAGTGGGCTCCAGAAGGGCCGGGTGACATGTTCCCACTTACATTTGTCTTGGAGGCTGACATGGGGAGGATCGCTGCTTCTCACAGTTTCACCACAAGTATCCTGACCGGGGCGTCTGGTGCCGAGCTGATAGCGCAGGCCTGGCCGCAGCCCCCGCCGGAAACCCGCCCTGCCAGCGGTTGGGGGGCCACAGGCTTAGACAGGAAACACCCCCCGGGGTGTCCCCCCAGGGCTCATGGCCTCTGCAGGAGCCTCTGCCTTGGACCAGGCCCTGGCGCCATTTTGGAGATGGGCCTGGTTCCTGGGGACGGGGTGGCCTGAGATCTAGGGGGCCTCTATCCCCTCCCTGGGCAGGTTTGGGAGAGGATGGCTGTTTAACAACCCATCCCCAAAGACTGGGTGGCTTGTAAACAGGACTTCAGCCAGGGACGGGGGCGCACGCCTGTCATTCCAGCACCTCGGGAGGCTGAGGCAGGAGGATCGAAAGGTGGAGGCCAGCCTCAGCCACTTAGTGGGGCCCTAAGCCACTCAGCGAGACCCTGTCTCTCAATAAAATACAAAAAGGGCTGGGGACGGGGCTCAGGGGTTAAGCGCCTCTGGGTTCAATCCCTGGTACCCAGAAAAAGTCTGGTGTGACATTTAGAAAAGACAAGACACGAAAATAATTTTAAATTGAAATTGATAGAAAAACGGAGCGATGTGATACATCTTTCCCTTTCTTGTTTCTTGGCCTCTTCCCCACCCCAGGCCTGGTGGCTGCAAAAAGTCCCATTTCGTGGCCTTGCCGTCCCTCCAGGACCCACTCATTCCGTTTCCGGCTTCCTCTGCCCAGACCTGGCTCCTGGCGGCCCCAGGACTCTTACACAGTCCACAACCTGTGCACCAGGGCATGGCCACACCCACACACCCAGGCTCTGGGTTTCTGACTTATCCACTGAAGACAGCCCTGGAGAGGGCTGTTTCCAAAGTCTTAGTTCCAGCTGCGGCCCCCTCTGGACCTTCCCCTGGAGGCCGGGGCCTCTGGGGCCACCAACGCAGACAGAGTTCTAGAAGCAGCTGTAGCTGAAGGAGAGAGGTCCCCGTCCCCCTGGCTTGCCCTCCTTCTGCCACCAGGCTGGGGACCTGGAGCTGGTGAACCTTGCAGAGGCCTGGGGTGGAGAAGACAGGGGCTGAGTGTGCAGTGGATTCCAGGGGAGGCCTGACCTCCACCCACCAGCCCTGCAGGGAGCCCAGTGTCCTTCTTTTTGGGGGGAGGGTATCAGGGATGGAACCCAGGGGTGCTTCACCCCCTAAGCCCTGTCCCCAGCCCTTTTTTAATATTTTATTTAGAGACAGAGTCTCGCTGAGTTGCTTAGGGCCTCGCCGAGTTTCTGAGGCTGGCCTCCACTTTGCGATCCTCCTGCCTCAGCCTCCTGAGCCATTGGGATGACAGGCGTGTGCCATGGTGCCTGGCTAGGGACACTCTGAATTGGACTGGGCTAACAAAGAAGCAATCTGTAGGCTGAGGCCTGAGCGACAGCGTGTGTCTGTGCCCACCCAGGACAGGGAAAGGGAGAGCCATTTTGGGGCTGTGTCTCTGTGTGTCTTTGTGTTTAAGGGTGTCTGATGGTAGGGACCCTGCCCATCTGTGGCCTAACAGAAAACCAACCCAGCAGGCTGGCCCTGTCACTCTCTTTTCTCTGTCGCTGTCTTTTCTCTGTTGCTCTTTTCTCTGTTGCTATAACAAAATGCCTGAGGTTGGAAGCTTTATAAAGCAAAAAGGTTCATGTAGCTGGATGAGTCTAAGGACATGCCACTGGCATCCTGGTGAGGGCCCCCGGGGCTGTGTCAGAAGCACAAAGGGAAGCGACAGAGTGCAGATGGGGTGGGCTGTTGGATAGCCATCTGGTGTCACAGGGAGACCCTGGGCCACTTAGCGAGACCCTGTCACAAAATTAAAAAAAAAAAATAAAAAGGGGCTGGGGATGGGGGTGCTCAGTGGTAAGCGCCCCTGAATTCAATTCCCAGAACCAAAGCCCAAACCCCAAACAAAAAAACAAAAGACCCCAAAACCTGGTCTGGAAAGATCTCTCCCCTTCCACCACATCAGCTCTGACCCTTCCTGAGAGAGGAGCCCCATGACCTTACCACCTCCCCTTAGGCCCCGCCTCTTAAAGGCCCACCACCTCAATTCCACCATCCTGGAGGGCCCAGCTTCCAGCACATGAGCCTCGGGGCGCATGCTCGTCCCTTGCAGAGTCCCCTACGACAGACAGACGTACAGATGACCCAGCTGGAGTGGAAAACCTGGCGTTTGAATAAACCAGAACCTCTGGGACATGTGTCAACAGCCCTGGAGGATTCGTGGGGTATTTTTTTTGCACCCAATCTGGCCGTTCTTCCAGTTATTCCATGTCCGTGTCCCGTGTCCCTGAATAAAAGTGACTGCTTCCTTTTAGAGACCTGTTGTCCCCTTTGCAAAAATGGGGTGCCTGGGCCCTGGGCCCTGAGGGACTCCAGGGAAGAGGCTGGCAGGGGCCTTACAGGACATGGCCACTAGAGGGCGCCCGAACCTCGCCCATCTGCGCCTCCTCGGCAGGGGACGCCAGAGCCTGAGTGCGCAGGCGCCCTGGGCCTCAGCCTGGTGGTGGTGGTGGTGGGTGACCCTGCCTGCCCCAATGTCCTTTTCTGTAACACGGGGTCGCCCCCAGAGTGACCCCACAGGGCTCTTGTTGAGGATGAAATA